ACACGAGCTGGAGCATATATCTTAAAAAAATTATTTATTTATTATTTTACAACTAGGATTATGGTGGGATTTCAACTCGGTATTCTACGTAGAGTTTGGCGAAACGGCGAGATTCCTCGACCAGAGAGGCCCCTATTAGACGAACAGCCAATAAATTGAGTTTTCCCCCCCCTTTTTCTTCTGAGTTGGGAGCAGTGTTTTTGATTTAACGCTCTCGAGGCGTGTATGATCTCTTGCTTTTCAGAGTACAATGATAAAAAAATATATTAATTTAAGATAAAAATTTTCCTTGAAATTATAAATATACAATACATATGATAAATATGAAATGATAAATATAAATGTACTTCTTTTCTAGAAAATGAAAGAAAAAACTATTTTGCAGAAAGAAATATCTGTGGAGTTAAAAAATTATTTGTTTATTCATGTTTCGCATGCATATTCATTGTCTCACACACTTGTGGGCAAATACAGGCTTGTGGACTCCTTACAAAATACGACTTTTAATCCCATGTCAAGTTGAAGGACAGATAGTTCAAGTTAGAGAAGGATAATACAAAATGTATCTATTGTAGCGTGGAGGAAGCGGGTTTTAATACAGCCGTATCTCTAAATTCATCTGCGTGATATCCTTCTCTTAACTTGTACTATCTGTTCTTCTGATTGACAAGAGCTTATAGGCCGAAATACGTAAGAAGCACACAAGGCTGCATAGGTGTAAGTATAATTTAATAAATATGTATGTGTAAATAGATAGATAACCAGGTTTGAGGTGAGATTCGAGACCGAAAATTCCATACTTCCATTTTAGGATGTTGGGACAGTCTGATATGTAACAGTTAAGTTACTGTTTTAGTTCAGCTTTGTTCAGACATTTGTATTGGTTGGTTAGTTCTAATGCCACTTGCCACGCTGGTAAGCCTGCTTGGTGAAACCGAGCAAATTTAAGGCAGAGTGTGCGATTTTTGCTTTTCAGTGGTGCCATCTACGGCCAAGAATTCGACTTCACCACACTATACGTCACACCTGTTTATAAGACGGACCCATTCATACATCCATTCATTTATCCACAGATCGTAATTTTGACCTGAATCAGAGAATGATCGATTTCCAATCCAGTATCCCCAGAGGTTTGATTTATTATGGAAACATGAAGGACTTTGAGACTCGACAGAATTTTAACGTGCATCAGTCACCAGCTACACGGGGAGTCTTCGGCCGGCGGGGTTCGAACCCACGAACTCTTGGACATGGGTCCAGCACCTACCGACCAGGCTATCCCGGCCCACTGGCATTTGTATATTTAAAAATTCGATTTTTCATTGTTATATATTTTTATATCATCTACCTACCTACCTTGTCTCAATAAAAAAAAAAAAAAAAACCTAACCTAACAAAATCATAGTAAATATGCGTTTAATAATTATGAAATAAAAGTAAACTGAACATTTCTGTCGTGGTCACAAATTACATCAGTAATCTCAGAAATACCGACTCTTTTTGTAAAACTATTGCAAATATAGCTTGAGATAAAATGGCAATTTTCACGTTTGATGGTTAATTGTCCTAACTATTAATGTTTATTAGTCAGCAGTTACGTGGTTTAAAAGGAATTGCATGATAATCACAATGAGTATATTCATAAGTTATAATTAAAAATAATAAATACAGTGGTATTTTGATCTAAAGCACTAAATATAGTTCATTTAAAATAAGCGTTATAATTAATTCATAATTTAAGTAAGAATAGCTTCTTTAAAAATTTACTTAAAAATCATTTCTAACAATTCGTTATTTAATATATTCGTTATTTAATATAAAACTTAAGAAAAGAAAAAAAGAAAACTGGAAGCTTTTATTTTTCACTGTAATGATTGTATGCTTTCCTTTGTAAAATTAAAATAAACTTTTCCAAATTTAATTAGCCTTTTCTTTCGCAGCGGTAATCGTTTCCATACATATACTTGTTTCAGAAAGTTTGATTAGTGTATTTTTAAATAAAATTGAGAGAAGAAATTAGAATACGATTGGAAGTATAATTTAATGTTACAAATTACTGCTCAACAAAATACAATTATTTTTCTTTTATTGTGAATTGCTCGAAACGTAATTTAATCTCTATTCAACAAGTATTTCCCTCAACAATAAGCTCTTTTATTCAAAGCAATGGAAGAAAGCCAAGTTCTAATTTTTTGTTCTCTTTTTAATCATTGCTATTTTTTTTAAACTTCTTTTGAAAATTTTCGAATGCTACCTGATGATATTTATTTAGTTTGATAATTGAATTTTTTTCAATTAATTTAATTCGTTCCTTTCAAGGTAAACTTTTGGTTGCAATTGTTAGACTTAACGGAGCAAAAATCGGTTTTAGTTTTTAGAAACGAGAAAAAAGTTCACAAAAATTTACATTTTTACCACAAAAGTAGGTATTGATTATTTAAAAAAAAAAAAAAACAGAATGCTTATAAAGCATTATAAATAAGCTCTTTTCAAAGTTTTAAAAATGGTTTTAGTTTTTAAAATTTGATTGCAAAAACTATTTTAAAATGTTGGAAATTTTTTTATGCCTAATAAAAGTGTTTATAACATATATTATTAGCACAGCACATTATTTATAAACGAAAAAAGATGTCAAATTAAAAATTAGTATAATTTATAATTTGACATCTATTATATTATATCTATCTGTATTTTCTGCATAAGAATAGGTTTAACTAATAATTTAAAATAATACGAAAATAATTGTTGTAGGCATTTTATACCGAGAAAAAATATATGGTCAAAACTACTAGAATATAATAAAATTTACCTGGCTCTATGGTAAATTTGTATGGTACGGTAATTTTTTTCCTGGCTCATTGATTTTGGCAAAGTTAACAACCTGGACAAATATGGTTACAATAAAATATGGTTTTGGTATGGACAATAAAATATTGGTATGGACAATAAAATATGGTTTTATTTACATGATTATTGGTAGTACATGAGGTAAACTTGTCCCGCAGTGGACTGATCGTTAAGACACGGTTCCCAGCAGATCACCGAAGTCAAGCATCACTGACTGCGGTCAGTGTGCGGGTGGGTGACCACTTGGATCAGTCTGCGTAGGGACCGAGGGTGTGCGGTATTGGTCCTCGTTAAACTGTTCTACCGTAAAATGCTCGACTTCGCGTGCAGGTCGTCGGGCTGCCGAAGCGGGGGTGCCATCCCCTCTGCAGAGGATCAAAATTGTGATGGCATGTCTTCGGATCATCCTCAGGGATGTTTCCCAGACCGTCGCCAATAGCCCATTGTGCAGCTCTAGTGCGACGTAAATGAACAAATCAATCAATAAATGAGGTAAAATTTGGTAATTATACCTAAAGAGTTAGTTATTTGAACAGTTCTGGTATATTTTGATACGAAGCAGAAATGTTCAGTTTGTTAACCTCTATTTTTTATAGTAAATGGTTGTTAATTTTGCTTTTGGTCAGTTAGGTGCTTTTATTCCTATGTAAGCAAGTTTGTATCTACCTACTTTCAAAACTATGAAAAATGCGCAGTTGTATGCATACAAATGCCTGGACAGGGCTAAACTAAATCAATAACTTAAATGCTACGCATTAAGCTAACCTAACATCCTAAAATGGAAGCATGAAGGTAGCGTGTTCGAATACCCCACAATTCTGAAGGAATATATTTATTTATATATTGCGACATAATAACATTTAAACTTCTGTGCACCTTACAAACTTTCACTTACAAACCCATATCAAGTTTAGGAACAAATAGCACAAGAGAAGGTTATCATTAAGGATCACTAGATGGATTGGAAGGAAACAAAGGAATAAGTAGAGATTCGAACACATAGCGGGTTCGAATCTCTACTTATTTCTCCTTGTATTGTTCCACGCTATTCCGTTATTTCTATTTGTTCCACACTATAATAGATGCATCTGTGCAATGTCTTTTGCAAATTTGTGCAATTTGTTCTTCAACCAGACATGGGCTTATAATGAATCGTAAATGAATTGGCGATGGGAAAGTTAAGCAGAAAAAATAGGAGTGATTTCAGGTAAATAATTAATTGTAGTGCTTAAGAAAAACAAATCCCATTGAATTTTATAATGTTTTGAATACAGATTTCCTAGTTTAATTAGATAATAATTGCCTTATCAAAAATTAAAAAATATATATCATAATGTTGCAAACAGAAATCTTTTGTTGATTTAGCAACCTATTCATAATTGTGCTGTAATTTGGAGAAAAAATATTCAACGTTTTTTATACTTTAACCGGTTCATTATGATTGAAAGATTCGTAAATAGTAAAAGATAAAACTCTATATTTTATAAATGCAAAATATATTCAATATTTACAAAAAAAAAATTTTTTTTAAATATTTTATTACATAATTTGTTTTTATTTTAAAAAAACTTATATTACTCTATTCAATTGAAAAATTTTAAAACAAAATTAAAAAGGTTTCAATATACTGAAACAGTTTTGAAATAGCGAATTGCAAAGAGTAAAATAAAACTTAAGAAACTCATAATGTATTTCTTACTTCCGCTTTATTTGCATATTAAGAGTGGGTGTTTTTCATTTATTTTGGAAAACAACGAAACTTTTTGTATATTTTTAGCTCAAACAACAAATACTCTGAAATAAATCCTGCGTTTTCTTAGGAAATAAAGAATATTTGGGAAAGACTAACCAAAAACTGTTTTCGTTTTTATTATTCAAGGGAAAAAGTTAGTGATCGCGTGTTTAGTTTACTCTCTCATGGGATTTTTCCAAAGAGGCTGGGAAAAAATTAAGCAATATCGATAAAAAAAGAAACACAAATTCAGAGCACATATACAGCGACATATATCATATATGGTTGAACGAAAAGGAAACTAACAAGTTGGACTGAAGTAAATAAAAGTTCCGATCTATATGCAAATGCGAAGGACAGGAGATTAGAGGCGGGAGTTAATCCTGCATCCCATTTGAGGTCAGGCGCGGTGAACGGGGGGCTTATTGCATCACGAGCGCCTTTTTAGCTCTGCGAGAGGGAGGTATCAGTGGGCGCATGCGCACCCCTTTCTTCATTTCTCCGTACTTGGACCAAGGCGGAGGATTCGCAGGAAAGCTTTAGATCCGCCGGTGGCCTCATAAGCGCACGTGAGAGGTGCCCGTCCCACAAATATTGCTTACCCGATCACAACAACAGCAACTACCCCGTCTAAACGAAAACGCTGCGAAGAACGCTTTGTCTTGTTGAGGATTCTGCCTGAAGTCCCATCTAGTACTTTTAGAATATCATATTAAACATTTGAAGAAGATTCTCTGGGGGTCGTCGTGTCCGGTTGCGGTCCAGTTTGTCGCCCTCCTATACTGCCCAGTACATCTTTTTATACCTATAATTGATATCACATTGGAGCACTTAGCGCGGAATTAGTTTTGCCCCTCCTCCTAAGTTTGCAACTAAAAAAAAATATTTTTTGCCGACTTTCGAGTTGCCGACTGCTGTTTGACACAGTAATAGAAGCGAAATGAATAGCGCGGCTGTCATTGGCAGGCAACTGCGTCAGCAAAACACAGGAAGAGGTGCACCCCCTCCCGGTAAGGGCCGGCAACGAGCTTTTTCACACCAGCCCCTCACAAATGCCCAACTCGCGCAACTCCAGAAACAAAAGGAGGAGGAAAAGAAAAAAGTTAGCACTATACAGAGCATTCGAAACAAAGTAACCGTCCAGTGTTTATGGCTTACTTGTAAAGCCCTAAGTGGTGGAATGATTTTGCTGATCATCGGTACCACGATGTCTGTCGTGGGATTCTATGCAGATACTTTGTCCACAGAGATCAGAGAGTCTGGTAACAGTACCATTGAGGTGACTGATAGAGATCGTCAATATCACCTGCACAACCTAACCTATGTAGGACCAGTTATTATGGGTCTCGGTGGCTTTTTCATTGTTGCCGCATTTGTTTTGACTTTTGAAACTCATGACGACCGCTCGAAGGTTGTTCCAGTAACCGATGATCATGCATCAACCGATAATTCATTACTCACAAGCCTGTTAATTGATGATAAAAAAGATAAACAGAATGGACCTTCTTCAAGTGGACCATACTTATGTGTTCCACAAGCTTTTGATGTGCCACCTCAACCCCTCAGAAAACAATCTGTGACTTTAGCAAACGGTAAACCAGGAAAAATCACTCCGATTAAAGAAGATGTTAGAACAATTATAAAATCAAAAGCGAGTGAATCAACTGGTGCCAGAAAAAAAGATCACACGACAATAGAAATCGCTGCAGCAACTTGCTCTAGTAAAGGAGCCAAACCACCCCCTGCCTATCTGCCTATAATGAAAAGAGAATATAGTACAGGGCCAAATGGGAGAATGAGAAATCGAGAACTAATGATGATGCAACTGTGCCTCGATGAATTTGTTCCATCTCCTCAAGATATAGAAATAATTGATCCTGATGGTTGTGACACTCCTCGTCGGGACAATGGCCCAACATCTTCAATGGACATGGAAGTTTATGTTTCAAACTGTCCTATAACTGTACGTGTTCAGATTGAACCTCGACATTTGGCTTCAATGGAAAGTGATGGTTTATCAGATAGTGACATATCCGACCCCGGAGAAATAGCTCGAATTTCAAGGTGTGATGTTGATTTTCCAGAACAGCAAATGCCATTACTGGGCCGATGCAGCCCGGCTTTCTCGTCCCCGGAATTCCGGAGAGGGGGAAGCGCAGCTCCGCTTCTCAAACGGGACTCCAGCCGCAGATTTCCTCTTCTAAGGCAAGGTGCTCTGGACAGCGGTAGAGGACTTGATGTCCAAACTGAGACTAGTCTCGCATAATTTTACCTTCATTTCATGTTCTTTTATTTTGAAAGGCTGTTGTTCAATGTTTAATTAAGCCAAAGATGATGATAGACTCACTTCTGCTTCTTGAGCGAAGCGTACTTGTGTCCATTGTAACCGTCTATCGCCAACTGTGTCAAATGTTTATATCCTTCATCAAAAAATCATTTCCATTCTCAACAGGGTAAGTACATGATTTTTTTTAAAGTAATATTTTATTCAACTATTTGTAATCATAATTTGTATTATTTTTACAAATGTTATTATTATTTTTTAGATTATTAATATGTTATATATGTTTGTGTCATCATTATGCAAGTAATAATTATTTCTCATTTGAAGTTTGATTCGCTTTGATTGAGTTGATAGTGCGAGTTATCTATATACATTTTATACATATTAGTTCCTTACATATTTTATACTTGCAATTAATTATAACTCTGCTCATTTCGTGCACTTCCTCTTAGTGTCTTTCAAATATTCGAAAATACTAAAAATTTATTAAGTTCTGTAAAAATAATGGGGTGTTGCATCAAATAAAAATCAAAATAACAATTTTAAAATAAAGGAGTTTTAAACCTAAAAAAGTTTAAAATCCGAGTTGTAAAAACTATTTATTCAATACCTTTTAATTAGTTTCTGAAATTTGAACTTTAAAAACAAATTAACTTTAAAATAATTAATTTATGTTTTGAAGCAAATAATTATATTAAATTTAATTTGAATTGTGAGATAGATGATACTTTAAGAATGATTTTTTGTAAGTTATTTTAGGTATATTATGTGTCGCGTTCTTATTATTAATTACGTATTAATTTTCTTTAAAGAGAAATAAAGGAGAAATACAGACAAATAGAGCATTCAATTAAAATAGATTTCTACTTTAAATTATTGATTATATATTCTTTCTTTACATTATTTTTTATTGGAAATTCTTATCATCAAACTATATCTTTTACTCTATCAACCCTGTAAAATTAAACTTCATAATTAAATACTAAACAACATATGTCTTGTAAATAATTTATGTGCATACCTACACATACATGGATAACAATGAAAATTATTAACAACAATAATTAACAATTAAGTTTCAAAGAGGACAATGCTATTAACATTATATAATAACGATTATATATTAACAAAGATAACAATGCTATAACATATTATAACAATGCCAAAGATAACTATGCATTTTGAATTATTTGCTGTTTATTAGAAATAAAAAAAAAATAAATGTTTTTTCTTTTAATAATATTGTTATAAAATCAAATTTCAAATTATTATGAATGGTTTCTTAATGTACTCCAGGCACAGTAAATATTCTATAATTCTAATAAAATAGCTGTAATTATTACTAATATTAAGTTGAAGACTGGTTGTCAAATTTGATATTATAAATCGTATAATGTATATTTATATAGGCTGGATGAGAAAAAAATATTCATTACATTATAGCTATATATTAATGAGATATTAAGAAATTTATGAAATTGAGGTGATTTTTCTCCCCAATACACTATTTCCCCAACTAATAACATGGATAAACTGGTTTTGTTATGCGGAGAAGACTGCAAGTTTAAATACGACTTTTTACATACAGAATAGTCAGTGAGTTAAAAGATACATGCGGTTTTGTATACAAAATAATATGTATTACAAATATTGAAATAAATTATATGGTATGCAAATGTAATCCTAGATTTCATATAATTTTTATCTGAATAAAGCATATAAGCATTCAATATACACAAATAAATTGGGAATTAAGTATTTTAAAAATAAAATTGTTTTGTTATTTCTTATTACATTTAATTTATAACTTCTATACAATTGAAATGAGTTTAGCTTAAATAGATTTTTAATATGTTTCACTTTCTAATCTCATTTAAACTAAAATTTTAAAACATTGACACACAGAAAACAAAACTGAAAAATTTCAAATGATGAAGAATGTTTATCCAAAATTTTTATTATTACATTAAATTAAGAACTGTTACTGAGAAAACAGAAATTTATGCATGTAATGAAAAACAAAAATTTTGAGAAGACATTTCCTCAAACCACAATAGTTATTTTATGAAAATTTCTGATAAAGACTTTTTCTATAATTACTGCAGAAAATAAAGATGATTAATTCCCAAAAATAAAGAATAACAAAGGAACACAAATTTTTAAATTTAAAACAATGCTTGTTATTAATATTAAATTAAAGCAATTTATTAAAATTTTTACTCTATCAATATTATGCATCAAGCATAAGATTAAAAAAAAAATAAAGTGAATTAAGTTTTAACAAGGATTTTTGTTTTCCTTGTATAAGTAGCTTTTTTATGTGTTATTTTGATTTCAATTGATGATTCTTTCCCTGAATATTCCATAATATGACACATTTATAAGTTCTTCACACCTATGGTTTAATCAGCATTGTTTTCAATGAGTTGAACGACAACTCAGTATGTTGATTAAATATCATGCAAAATACTTCGTAAATGTTCCTTACTGGAAATGGATTTAAATTCTATTCTAACCAATAATTTTGAATTCTCTAATTTATTTCAATATACTTCACAGACTCGGCAAATGATAAAAGTTATCGTTATCATTAGTCATAAAGCTTTATTTGTCATACAGCAATCATAGCCTTATTAAAATATAATAATTTCCGATAGATATAATTACAAGCTATACGATGAGCAAAGTCTTGGTAATTTTCGTATAGTACTTGTATCATAGATTTAAAAGTATATTTTAATGTGTATTTTTTGAGTGCTATTTTGATTTCAATTAGTGATTTCTTCATTGAATTTTCTTTAATAAGAAATACTTATAAGTACTTCATATCTATGATTTAATCTACATTATTTTCAGTGACTTGAATCACTTACTCAGTATGTTGATTTAAAATGATGCAAAATGCTTCGTAAATGTTCCTCACGTGAAATAGGTGTAAATTCAATTTCAACAAAACTTTTCAAATTCTGTACTTTATTTCAATATACTTCACAGCTGCACTATTCTGCAAAGAATAAAACTTTGTTATCCTCAGTCATAATATTCAGTTTATCAAATATTAATCGTAGCTTGCTTGAAATTTAATAATTTCTTATATTTATTAATTGCAAGCTGTACTATAAACTAAGTTTCATTTTATTGTAATTGTATTATTAATTTTATTGTGTATTTTAAATTGTTAAATTAAATCATTAGATAATAAAGAAAGCTCTTAATTTATGGCTTGAAAAATAGTTCAAATTATGTCCATTTTGTTACATGTTTGTATTGTACTTGCTAATTCTTTATACTCCAAGTGAAAACGTACAAAATTGTTGTTTTAAGAACATATTTTATTTACAATTAAACACATGAATACATTTTATGTTAGTTAATTTTTTGCAAAATTTGCAAACAAAGCGCGTTTCATAAACGTGCATTTTAATTATTATTATAATAAATATTAATAAAATCGTTCATCTAAAATTGAATGTAAATTTCGTTTTGGCATTCTGTTAGCTAAATATCTAAAATAATAAATTTTCGATGGCGTTTCTTCTTAGTGTATTAGTTTTTTAATCTTTTGTAAAAACTGCATAGTTTAAGAGTTTAGATTTATTATTTATGAATATTTAATTATTGAAATGAAAAAATATAATTTGTACTCAAGGAGATAACGAAAAACATATCAGAGAAACATATTTTTAAATAATATATTAAATTATTAAACCGTATTCATATCAGTCAATACCTTACAGAAAAAGTAAATAATTCTTAATTATTCTCATTTACAATAAAAACTAATAAAATAATTCAAGTGTTAACTTTAATAGTTCTTTTTAAAGTTGTAAATATAAAATGATAGTTAATTTTCAGCCTTAATCCTGAAATGTACTTATTAGTAAAACTAAACATAAAAAAAAAAAAACATACACTCTACTCAGTATCTCATATGCTTGAGATAATTAGCCTGCTTTTAGACGTGGAATAACGAAGACTAGAATTTCCGAACGAAAAAGAAGAGATTTTTGCTTCAATTAATGCTTTAATTAATTCGGTTAGAGAACAGGCTAATTTATTTGGGTTTCTGATTTCCAAGGGGAAAATTTTTCAAAATCTTTAATACTTCATTAAACAGTTTTCTTTAAAACTAAAACCGGTGTAAGCGCATTTTAATTATATATATATATATATNTATATATATATAAACTAAAAATAATCTAACAAAGTAACTTAAAATTGTATGTAATTATTACTACTTTTGTCCTAGAGTCTCAGAAACGTGTCAATAATACTGCACATTTTCTGATTCATATCGTTTTAAACATACTTAAAGGTAGTAATATTACACTGAGGAAAAGTATGGTCAAAAGTTCCAGAATATGGTAAAATTTACTGTATTTCTGGGTCTATAGGAAGACCAAAAGATCAGTAATTTTTACCGAAGCATTTTGGGAATCATTTTGGTAAACAAAGCAATAAAATTGATTTTTATAGTATGTGATAAAATTTGGTTAACTTAGTAAAATTTCATATTATTAAAATGATACTTCAGAGCTTGACATGAGCATTATTTATTCAGTTAAATTTACTTACCACTTTTGCATTTTTTACCAAATGGGTGGGTGGTAATAAGAACTATAATTTTTAAAACTAGAAGTTCCGGTAAAACTTCTACCTTATGAATGAAAAAATTATCAAATGAATGGTATAAACACTGTATATTTTGTTTTGTATCCTTCGTCTTATTGTTGATGTAAAACTTTTAAATTAAGTTAACTACTATTATTAAACTTGTACTAGACCTTATGCTAATACCTTTAAGGAAAAAGTCGAAAGTAATTTAATGTTAATTTGAGTGCTTAAAATACATTACTTGTTTTTATATTTAGGTATATATTTGGTATATATATCTTTAGGTACATATATCTTTTAGTTATTTTTTATTAGGCTAAAAGTTATATTATGATATGGCATAAGATATTAAATGAGTTTGAGTTAAGTTAATACTAATTAAGTATGAAATTATTTGGAGTTCCTTTGTAGGAATGGAATGCAATTATTTAAAAAAAATGATTGGAATGTTTACATTGTTTTTTTATGTAATGAATTATAAATTGAGTGGACCTGATACGCAATACATTTCGTAGTATTACTCAAAACAGATCGTTCCTAATACCTAAAATCTAATGTTTATCTATTTAATATAATTACTTAAAATAAATTAAACGATACAAATAATTATTGGAAAAAATTAACATATCATTCAATTCCGTTTTTAAAGGCAAATATCTAAAAAAAATTCAACCGTACAGCAAAATTATAAAGAAATAAAATTGTGGTCCTCGATTCCTTGCCCTTCCATCACAAATATAAACTTTTTTCAACGATTAGTAGATAGCTATTTCATTATTTGTCCCGATGACTTAATAAGTGTTCAATTTGCATTAAATATATGTATTCATAGGACAAAGAGAAATCATACCTGGGCAAAGACTTTAAAGCAACATTTATTGAATTGTTACGCTGGTACGTGCTGTTGCTAAAATCGTGGCATAATTTATTAAATTCTGAATATTATTATATTTTTATATTAAAACACTCAAAAGTATAATGTGCTGATATTTTAATGAAACAATCTGCGAGGATTAACTGAACTAAGATTGTATAAATGTAAATAATTTTGTGAATTCGTTTGGTATGGTATAAATATTTCTTCAATTTGAAATTTTAATACGTTAGTAAAAATTGCTATAGATTTAGGTTTAGGGGTCCTTATACTTCACAATCAAATTTTTTATTGCCTTTATAAATTTTAAATATTTACATATACATTACTATAAAAACCGTATATTTTATTTATTCTATTCATATTGAATTTTGTTTCTATTATATTTTTTAGATAAAATGCAATAGTTCATAAGGTATTTTGGCGTTAACTGATATTTATTAAAAAATATGTTTGAATTTACTATAACATAAATTTGCAACCATTTTGATTATATCTGTGACTGAGGTAAAATATTGAATGAACGGAAACTTTAGTTAATATTGCTTGTTAATAAATCTAATTATTGTTTTGGTTATAACAACAGACATTTATTGTGTTGTTAGAATTTTCATTCTAAAATTACAGTAACATAACCGGCAGCGACCTGTTCACCCAATTAACCGTAAAGTTTATAGAAAAGAACATTTTTTACTTTTATCGTTTTGAAGTTGTTTACAACCAGTATGTTTGAAAAACCATGAAAACAAACGATATGATTTTGAACCATTTACAACCAGCATGGTTTCAAAACCGTAAAAAAGAGAAATTTAACTGGACTTTGGAGTTAGGTATTTTGTTAGGTAATGGACATTGGAGTTAGGGTGTAGTTGAGTTGTATTTTATAAAATGAACCGAGGAATGGGGTTTAATTAGTTTATCTGGCTGTTTTACACATCGTAAGAGATGAGAAATACTGTACTTTTTTTATTGAGCAGCTTTATGGTGCTTCTTTCTATGCGTGAATGAGAGTAATGTACTCTAATAGTCCAGGGTCTTAAATTGGGGAGTGTAGGACACTGGAAACTCTTCATGCGTTGAAGGAAAGGAGGAGATATTGTGATGTCAACATTCGAACCCCCGTTCTGTCGGTCATGAGATTGACAGATTAGCCCTCTCGGTTATAGTATGTACTTATCTGCAGGGAATTAAGTGGGTTCGCACAAACTAGGTGGATCTAGTTTGTGCTATGATATTCCGGTTGTTTAGCTGTATTAGGTGAAAACAGTTAACAATCGGTTTTCTCACATTTACAATTTTGAATACCATATTATTTATGTTTATTTGACTGATTTGCTTAAATATGGTAAATTCACAATTAAATAAATTTTTATTTGATCTTCTTTCTGATAACTATCTGATTTCGAATAATGTTGTTTGAAACAGTCTTTCCGACTTTTAATTTATTTTAAAAAAATCATTTAAAGAAAAAATATTCGATTACTTTTTCTAACTTTTCTTAAAAGAAGAGGGCATGCAAATGAGAAAATGGTATCTGGAACTGAAACCTTTGTAAAGGGCTGAGTTTCAAGAATTGATGATCGTGGGTACCAAAACATCTGCGGCAATTCATTTGAATAGATCCTCTGCTCGAAACTAGAGAAAAGAAGAAAAAAAAATATTTGAATTGCACTCTTACACTAAAGAAGAACGAGAAAAATCTTATTATGGCAGTGTGAAATAAATGGTAATTTATATTATTGGAATCCATTTTACACATGAAGAAAAAAACTTTTATATACACTATGTGTTGTATAAAAACAGAATTAACTTAAAGTTATGCCGCTGCGTATCAAAAACTGACGGATCATAAGCCATAAAAAATGAGTTTGGTGTTAAAATATATTTAAGCAAGTTTGATTTGTTTTCATTCTCCATCGTTTCATTTTTAGTTTTGTAGTTAGGCATTTTTTTAAGTATAACTTTAAAAAAACTTGCAAAAATGGGGAATATTACTGAAAAACAACGAAATATAGAACTTTTAAAGCATAAAAAAATATTTTCGTTTTTTTTTAATCTGTTTTTGAAATTTTAGGATATAGTGAAATACGAATATTTAATCTAAATTGCGTTTCAAAACCTCCAAATATATAAGAAAAGATTAATTTCGTTTTTTTTTATGAAGCATTGCTTTTTTTTTAAATCTTTTAAATATTTAAAGATGCAGTGAAAAATTTTCTAAATTTTGAATAAAAATACTATTCTTTTTAGTTAAAAAATAAATAAAATAGGAAATATACGAAAATAATAAAGCAATTTAACAAAAATAATTGAAATATTTAAAACAATAACAATAAATTTTGTTTTAATTGTAATAATTATTAAAAATTTCCTTTTTGATATTTAAGCAGCAAACATATTTTATGATTATTCAATTTTATGATCCACATTTTATCTATGTTTTATGATTATGTGATTATTTCAAAAAAGTACAGCAATAATAACGCATTAGCATATATAATTAATATTATAATAATAGTGTCATAAGGGAAAAATTAGTTGAATATGATAATACTTTGTAAATGAATAGGGTATAAAATATATTCGCAATTTAGTAATAGTGATAATAGTAGCTGTGGGCGGAGTATGTTATAGCAATGTCAACCTTCGTCTGTAATAAGTTGCCCCAACATAGAATCGAGTTAATATGTCTTATATACAAGCGAATTGGAATTTAATAATGTAGTGATGGACTCGCTACAATACTCCCCCTCTAGAAATTTATCTGCGATAGAATTCGATAAACAGATACTTGTTGATTCATTGCTGTTTTTTGTGAGAAGCCGGAAGAACTGTATTAAGATCCCCGGACTTTGAATTATAATCGTAAGAGGTGTATTAAGTTCACGGTCGTGGTTGCTCTTGTGTTGCCATTACCAGTCGAATGTATACTGGCCGGCGTTGTGTGTGATAGAAACTGAGTATCAACAGTACGAGGAGTACAATGTTGCATTCACAATTAGAAAGTAAACTGTTTAATGTGGACCATCTATTGAAGAAGGAGTATTCAAATCAAACTGGGAGTGTCTGGCGGAGTAGGCGTGTTCAGATCACATCCTTATATCATCAATGTGGGAGGAGTATGTTATCAACAATGTCAACATTCATCTACGGAAAGGTACCCCAACATAGAATCGAGTTAACATGTCTTATATACTAGTGAATAATCACTTAGTAATTGGTAGACACGCTACAGTTGCGATGATATATCGTGCTAAATTCTATGCTATATTATATGAACAATTATAAATTTTACTGTATAATATAGCAAATAAAAAATGTAACCTGGGAAGGCATGTTCTTTCCTGCCTTGCAACTTGTCCCTAAGAACGATTTTGTACCAATGGTTGTTTTAAATTGATTTCTAAGATGTCATTTCCTTGTGATTTTGGTTACAGAAATTTTTATTATTAAATTGAAGTCTGTCAGGAATTAAAGGTTCTTATTCAAAGGTTCACACATTCTGCTGTCTTTCTGTAGTCGTTGGCGTCGACATCATTTGTTGATCTAACTTATATATTTATTATATTTCATCCTATCCCTTTCTCAACGTCTTATTATTACAATTTAGATTAGACTCAACAAAGTTTTAACAAAATAGGATCGTATTTCATTTCGCCCTTCGAAATATCTATTTTATTGCAACAACTAGGTCTAAGTAACTAATACCACTGAATATATTTCTACTGTTGAATGCTATTTAATTATTTGCCTTCTAAAATTGCAGGAAAATAATTAGCGGCAGGCTTTGAAATCGCTTACATTTAGTACAGTTAAGAAACCATGAATACAAAACTTCACGTTTTTTAATTTTTGCCTTGAATGGTTTCACTATCATAACTGGCCATAGGAGCTAGACTTTTGTCACTTTATGGACATTGTAGTTAAGCTGTGGTTGAGTTTTGCTTCGTTAAATGAACCATGGAATGTGGTTTTATTAGTTTATCTGGTTGTTTCACCTATGGTAAGATATGGGAAATGCTAGTCTTTTTTTTGCTAAGTAGCTTTATGGTGCTGCCATACACGCGTGAATGAGAATATTGTATTTTAATAATCCAGGGTCACAAATTTAAATGTGCAGTACGCAAGAAACTCTTCATGTACTAAAGGGAATTGATGAAATATTGGGATGTTATCGCTGGGACTTGAACCTCCATTCTATCAGTCATGAAATTGACAAATTAGCCCTCTTGGCTATAATATGCATCCAGCCGCATGGAACTAAGTGGCTTCATTATGTGAGCCTATTTGGTGAAATAAAAATTCTGGTTGTTAAGCCGTATTAAGTGAATGCCGTTAATAAACTGTATTTATTACAGTTACAGTTTGAATACTATCTTATTTATTGTAATTTGACTGTTTTGTTTGAATATCCTAAAGGAGCAATTAAATAAATTGTTATTTAGCCATTTTAAAAGTTATTATTTTGTTATGAAAAATGCACCCTTTTTAGTACATATAAGCCGCCACGATAGTATTTACCCTAAAATATATCAGGCTATAAAAAACCTTAGGCGAATATCTGTCTGCGGCTCTACAAGCAGTGTTTCACGTATAAATGAACACCAGGTACGCCGTACACAATCTATAGCAATGGTATACAGACTGCATCATTCTTTTATTGGAATCACTCAGTATCATTATTTAATCTAAATCTCCCTTTTCTCCATACCCTATGTGTTTTTGGTACTTAAAATACACAAATAAATATGAAAAAAAGCTGGGTTGATAATCTAGTTTTGTAACATAAAATGGCTGTTTTATAAACCTTAAAAATTATATATATA